TTAAGTTCAAATATAAGTATAGGAGGGAGGGAGGGAGGGAGGGAGAGAGGGAGAGAGAGAGAGAGAGAGAGAGATTATAATTAGATCATTGATTTTCGTCGTCATATGCAAGAATTGAATATCCATGGGTAATTAAGTATTAGAGTAGGTATATCTATTCTCTTGGAGTTTAGTACCCATTACCAACATACAAAACAAGAACAAATTAAAACTCTATAGTTATCGACTCTAAAACACTTGAAACTATACATAAAACCTTTATTATACCGTCGAGATAAGTGTATAAATTTCACTCAATTGAATATACAAGTAGAAATATATGTTTGATTTATAAAGAGCTATAAAATGCTACAATTAGTAATTCTAAAAATAATAAATGGCAACGTTGGTGAACTGTTCAATATGAACCCCAAAATTTCTTTTACAGATTCTACTCTCTAATATGAAGAATTAAAAGTAGTTTTTCTATTTTTCTGATACTATCACCAGTACTTTTCAAGTTAAAGGGTAAAACAATATTAAGCCCATGTTTGGTATTGATTATAACCTAAATTAAAGTCAATATCCAATTTTAACTGCACATTTAATGAGATTCGCAACTTTTTAATCACGCATTTTATCAAATTTTATCAAAATCTACTAAACACTTGATTTTAATCCTCACCAAATGGAAACAAAGTAAGCCCATGTTTGGTAAGGATTAAAATTAGATTTTTAATAGTTTTTTTTATAAAAGTTAATGAAATGTGTGATTCAAAAGTCATGCATCCTATAAATTATGTAATTAAAATTAATTATTGATTTTAACTTAAATTAAAATATAAATTTTAATCCCAAATTAAAACCATCATGGGATCAACTTATAAATTAGTAGACTCAAAAGTATTGGTCCAATATTCAGGCATGGGCTGCCCTAACTTACATTACAATTCTGGCTGAGATGTGGTTCATTAATGGGCCAAAATTATTCTTTTAGAAAAAACGATTCTTTTAGAAAAAATAATTTTTTTCAATAAAGCGTTCCCAATGATTTTTTTATAAATATCATATTGAAACCTATTTTT